CTTATCTGCTGCGTATAAAAGGGGAGAACATAGCTAAAATAAGTAAAAATAAGAAAGGATTGGTAGCTATGTGGTTTGAATTTTCTGTTTCTCTTTGAAAATCGGTGAATGTGAAAAAGCGGAATACTTATAGAAAAAAGTGAAATTTTTAGAAAATCTGAATTTTTGATTAAAAAAAAAGCTGAAATTCAAGAGATAAAAGTGAAAAAAGCGGAAAACCGCTAAAAAGCGGAAAAATCTCATCCCTGATTATATAAAAATATGAAATTTTAAATATGAAAAAAAATATGAAATTTCAAGAATAAAAAAGAGGTAAATTGGATTTTTTGAAAAATTTAAAATTCAAATCAGGTAGAAAAATATTCATTTAGGACTGAATTGAATTCACTGAATTTTTCCAAAGATTGAGGACTGAAGAGTGGCACCCGTGATTTTATAAAAGTGAATTTAAGTGAAAACAATACAAGAGACTCCACTTTAGAGGTAATTATAACGCAACCCTGAAAATTTTGTGAGTCCATTTATATATCAAACATGTTTGTATTTAACATAATTTTTTTAAAATAATATTTATAATTAAATTATCTACCACTGAAGAATCACACCTACATAAGTAATTAATTTTTTAGTTGAATTTTTAGTATTCTGTTTAAAAATAAAGTACTTATAAAGTAATTATAAAGTTTAAAAAGTAATTAAATTAAAAGTTAAAGTAGTTGTAAAGTTTAGAAATAAAGTACTTATATATAAAGTTAAAAAGTTTAAAAATAAAGTACATATATTTAAAGTTATATAGTTAAAAAATCATTAAAAAATATTGACCTAGTCTATCTTCATCTTGATTACCGCCTTCATCTGGATCAATATCCTCTGAAACAAATATATCATTCAGTTTAAATAACAATAAACACAAAAATAAAAACATGGTACTTATCTAGAGTACTTATTGAAAAATTTAAAGAGGGAGAAAATTAGTAAGACAGTGTGGTCACAAAGCAAGAGTTTTATTATAAACATAATAAACTTAATTAGCGCGACAAATGGCTCTAAAACATTCAAGAACTAAATAAAGAAAGCTACAAATTCAAAAGCAGCTCAGGGGTCTGTCTAAACATTTTGTGAAAGGTCATGTTTTTGTAAAATTGTGAAAAAAATTACTCATAAATTGTGAATATAAAAAAACGTTAAGTCACATTTTTTCAACCAGGGTCCAGCTTTTCTGATTTTGTGCAAATAGGGTCCTGTTATTGCAAAAAAAATTTTAAAGGAGTTTTTTAATTGTAAATAGATACAAGATTATGCTCAACACTGTAAAATTATAATTAAAAAAATTAAATTTTAAAATATAAACAGCAATTGCTGCTACTAAACTAGAGATGCAACATACAAATATTTGGTATTTAGCCTATACTGCTGAATGTGAAATATTCATTTCGGACGAATAAAGAAAGAAGCATCTGCGGAGGACAAAACTTAGTTCATTTACATGTCTTTTTGCCCCCACCCTGGGAAGGGTTTATTCAATTAACAAAACAATAATGAAGATAAACAAATTTGTGAAGGGTCTGTTTTGATGAAAATATATTTTGCGAAAAGTCCGTAAACGGAGTAAATTTCTTCTAAACAGACCCTACTATTTGAAAATTCAAACTATCTATTTTAGTTTTACACATAATCTAACACTTAAAACTAAGCTTTTATTGTTAATTTGCATTTTTAAGTTTTTATTTATCATATTTTTTTAAAATTGCTGATACTTCCAAAATTACATTACAACGAGGAGTTTCAAGACAATGAGTTTCCGTTTATCTTTTCAAAATGAATTAGCTTAATTCTTTTTAATGGTGGAATGATAGAGCAGGAATTTGTCAGTCTGAAAAATGAGCTTGCTTTTAACAAGCAAACCCCCGATTTGAGCAAGCTATGCTTTTGCGATTTTTAAAATTTTGACTGCTTCAGTTCAGCTAATCCTTTCTTAGAAAAATCCATTTAAGATTCCAAAGGCAAGAGAAATGAGTCATAAATCCAGCAATTGTGGGAACTTTTTCCAAAAGCAGTAAGGTAAACGACAATACTTTTCAGACCATGAAGCTCATCCAAAAAACAATAACACAAGGAAGAGAAATTATAACAGTTCAAAGGCTTACTTTTTTTATACAGAAACAAAAACTAAATTTATAATTTAGTAAGTAGGTAACACTATCTGGACAAAAGTATCCAGACACCCAATTGTATGGACTTAAAGCGTCCTGAGGAACATATTATATATGATACATATGTTTGGGAAGACTTTCCATCAGTTTTTGATAGGAATTGACTTCCATCATAGCTGAAGTGAGTGCTTGCAGTGAGGAGGGTCGATTTAACTGGCTATGTAATCTGTGTTCTAATTCCTCACAAAGAGAATTAGATAGGGCCTCTGAGAATACCAGTTCAGTTTTTGAATACTCATTTCCACGTCAAACCACGTCTGTGCAAGCCCCGATGTGTGAATGGAGCCTGCTGGTAGAAAAATGGGCTGAAATATTGCCATAATGTTTGGAATTGCAGCATTGTTCACATCCATCTCAAAGTTCATGTTTCCCAACCACAGGAACTAACATACACAGGCCAAACCACGAGAAAAATCCACAACCATCACCTTAAAAAACCGGGTGTTTGGATAGTGTATAAACTTTTATGAGTGGTTATTATAAAGAGCAAACATTCCTTCGCACTCAATTATAATAAGAAAATTAGACTGCATAGGAACAGTTTCATTTAATAGTTAAAAAATTTCATATTTTTATTTTGTTCATTGTACATTTAAATTCAATAAGGATGGTATTGTGATAAATAAGTAAGTTTAATTCAACGTTAGATAACCAAGAGTCATATAGTTCATATCAGGGTTGGGTTTTGGCCATCAAAAACTGGTTTTTGACATGACAGTGGTAAAAACCGTGTTTTTACCGGTAAAAACTGTCAAAAACCTACTGTTTTCTTTAATTTATGGCATATAGCGGACAATATATTATTTTCACATAATTGCCTTTGTAAATGATTGAATAAATGAATGTTGTAAATGATTGCTGTTGATTTTGCAACTATATACATGTATTCTTATAGAAGGATATACATTCATATAGAAATATACTTATTGAAAATAGTGATACTTATTTTTATCATTATAGCTTGATTTGCAAAGGATTCAAAATTTTGCTCTTCTTAATTGTTAGAAATAAACAAACAAACAAAAAAGCTTGGAACTATTAATAAATTCAAGAACTAAAAAGAAGAATTTAAAATTTGGCATTTTTTAAGTATTAGAAATAAGCTAAACAAAACTTTCAAAACTTGTAGCTACTGACAAACTCTAAGTCAAGAATGACTTGACATTCTTCAGTAAGGTAATATGCCAAACAAAATGATGCTTGGAAATGTTGAAAATTTTGTTTAGTATCCTAATATTTTACTTCAAATAGCATGTTTTGATAAAATCATGTTGGGAAAATGCAAGAATCTGTTCTTAAATATCTTTTAACAACTTTTTTTCTAATTTTATTGCTTAAAATGAATTAATTTTAAATTACAAGCAGTTAAACTCAAATAAAAATACAATTTTACCAAAACTATGGGTTTTTGACAGTTTTTGACAGAAGGGTTTTTGACATGATGGTAAAAACCATGGTATAAACTGGTAAAAACCGTCATGTGTCAAAAACTTGCCAACCCTGGTTCATATAGAGTCATAATCATATAGTCATTAAGTTTCAAATACCAGCTTGCGTTATCCAATCCAAATAGCCTCTGAGATCCTCTTCAATTTGTTGTTTCTCTCTAAGTTTGTGAAAGTCACCCCTCGCTTTTGCTTTTTCTCTTTCTTTTGAAAACTCACTGAAACGAAAAATGTTTGAATATTATGAAAACCCACACAAATTAAGTTTTTTTTTTTTAGACAAAATTTTTTTAAAAAATTTATTGACAATATTATAAGAAAAGAAACTTCTGAACTGGGCATTTGCACATGACTAACAAGTTTGGTGCACAAAATACTGTAATTTTGCTGAGGCATTGATTTAAAACTTAAAAATTTAGTTTGAAAGTAATTTCCATCCACCAATTCTACTCCTTCATAATAAGCAAAAGCAATTTTACTAAAGTTGCAGCAGTTTTAAGTTTAATTTAAAGTTTTACTTCAGGGCTCGTGATTTTTTTAAATTTTCTTTTTTAAATTTTTTTAAAAAAAATCGGATTTTTTTATTTATTCAAATATACTGTAAGAACTTTGATTCGTGACTAAAAAAACTTTACAAAAGTTTAATCAAAATTAAATTAATATTAAAACTATATTATAAGAATATTTTAGAAGCTCTAACTACCTAAAACAATTTTTCCTTATAATACATAGCTTTGAATGCATCAAAACCATTTTGAAACAAATGCATGATTGAAATTTAAAGACTAGATGAAATAGAGAATTTAAAGAATATTTTAACTATTCAAAAGTTTCAATTTAAAAACCATAATTTCAATTTAAATTAGTGACTTATTTTTCTTCTTTCGATTTTTAAAATGACAAAATGTAACAGATTGTATTTAGAAATGTAGTCATTCATCAAAAAATAAATAAATATTTAATCCATACATTTTTATATTAAAATATTCATTTTTAATCTTATATCAAAATAGATAAATTAAGCTAAAAAAGTTCTTTTTAAAATCTATGTACTTATTGAAACTTTCTTTCGCAAAATTTCCTTATAGAAAATCTGAAAAAGTCAAAGATACTGTCAACATATTAAGACAAAAATATACTTTAATCTGTACTTTCAATCTCAAGAATCGAAGGATTTATAAAAATGTAATTTCAAATGTGTTGAAATTTAACACATACCAAGAAAGAAAGTAATTTCGTTAGCTAAAATTAATTAATTCATCAATAATAAATTTTAAAACTAATGCAGCAATTTATTTAAAATACATTTTAAAACTAAGAAAAGAAATAATAAAAGTATTAATAATTTATAACACTGCTTTTTAACTTTTCAAATCAATATATATAAAAAAAAAATCAGTTGACTTAAATCAATGATTTTTTTAAAAAAATCATTTGATTAAAATCAAGCTGATTTAAATCAACAGGGTTTAAAATAAAAAAAACAGGGTTTCTGTTTTATTTTAAAAAGAAACATTAAAAATAATAACATAATTATCAGCTCACACAGGAAAATACAAATTTAACTTAATTCAACCTTGATTGCAATTTTTCTTACAAAAAGATCAAGTTAAGTAGTGTTACCATGTTTTTGTGAAAAGTTTTATATTTCTTATTGTCGACGGTAGACGCTATTGTTGACGGTCTAGGGAACATCCCCCGAGGATGATCCGAAGACGTGCTATCGGAATTTCAATCCTCGAAAGATGGGATGGCTCCTCTGCTTGCGTGCAAAGTAGAGCACTTTAAGGTAGAACAGCTTAACAAGGACCAATACCGCACACCCTTGGTCCCTACAAAAACTGATCAAAGTGGTCACCCGCCCGCTTACTGACCCCAGCCAGTGATGCTTCACTTCAGGATTCTACTAGAAACTGTGTTTTTACGCATTGCAGACAATAATACAATTAAAATACTAACTACTAACATGTTTATTGAATATTACTTTAATTATAAAAATGAATTTAACAAAACAGTGCAATTAGTATGCCAAAATTATTAGATGTTATAATGAAAATAAATTACCACCTAATGCAATTCAAAACAAAAATAAAATATATCAGACAGACACTGAATTTGGGGAATCATCCAGAAATTAAAAACTCAAAAATCTTTTTTCTCACTTTAGGGTTGAAATATTTAAAAACTTTAAATGACTATTAAATAAATTAAGTAGCATGGGAAACTTTAAACAAAAAATTACTGACTCACCCACTCAAAACACCAAGTACTAGATTGAGAACAAAGAAAGATCCCAGAATGATAAGGCTAAGAAAATAAATCCAGGGCCAACTGTTACCACAAGAATCATTCACCTGAAATCAACAACAAAGATCTTTACATTACAGTCAAGAGAATTGTTGTCTAACAACCACACAAAGAGGAATTTAAATTCAGACTTTGTCCTGATTTAGGAGAAAGCCATACCGCGGAAGAAATTTTTTGTCGTAAATACTCTTTCTCCTGCATTAATTTAAAAGAAAGAAAAAGTAAGTTCCGGAAAACATGGAGTAAGTCAAAGTTTCAACGCCTAAAAAAAATACTTCAAAATATTAAAATGCAAACAAATTATTTGAAGAGAACTTCTCCGTTGCGTAAACCTAAGTTATCATCTCGTAATTTATTTTCATTTGTATATTTTAAAATTTTATTTTCATTTGTATATTTTAAAATTTTATTTTCAGTATTTGAAACATCACGGCTTACTCTAAGTTTGTCTGAACTCACTTTCTCTACACTTTAAATAAGTAATGAAGGAGAAAGAGAATTTGAGAGGAAAATTTTCTTTTGCATCCTCTTAAAAGTTTTTCTGTCTTGGTAATTTTATTTGTTTCTCGAATATTGCCAGATGTCGGAAATTCTCGTTCAATAGCAACACTCTAAGGTGACAATGCTAACATGGCCTTTACTACTTGGGCAACAACAGTAAATTTAACTTGGTTAGTTGTACTATTGACAGAAAAATTTTACCAATACTGGGCAACAGAACAATCTTCCAGTTTTCTAATTTCCTCAAAATTCAGAATTCTTAACAATTTAAATTCAAAATTCTAAAAGGCAGCAAATGACCACAGTTAATCACGGCCAATTCTTTCAACAAAAAATAAGCACCTTTTAAACACTCAAACATTAAGGAAATACAAAATAATTTTCAAAGACTTTACATGATTATGATAAAATAAGTTTCTGACAAAGAACTCTTTTCTTGATTATATTAGCGATTATAAAATGATCGAAAGATTTTTCGGTTTGAGATCTCGGAATGGAAAATGAAGCCTGAAATTGAGAATATCTTGCAAATTGCAGCAGAGTTGCAAATGACAGTGCAATAATCTCACCGAACCCAGCTCAGTAGACGTGCATGCGGACTCACAAGTATCTTATCAAACATGTAAAATGATTGATGCTTTCATACAATATGAACTGGAGGTACTCTGAAATATATTGTGGTTGAATGAATTGTGAAAACGGTGAATAGAACAATGTGAAAAGCACGCCTTTGCAGAATATGTGGCACCTTAAAAGGGATCTTAAAAAATGAAAATAAAAAATAAGCACCTTCGAGCACTTTTTAAAATCGCTACGCACCTTGTTTAACATGGATTAATTATTCAATTATTTAGTAATTGACCGCTTGTACCAAACACCCAATTGGTATTTGGTTCAAGCAGGGGTAATTGTGAGCCCAACTCAAAACTCCTGAAAATGTCTTGATTAAAATCATAAATGACGCATTTCAAAAATGTAATGTCTTTATAAATTTAAAATCATTGATATTTTCAAAACATGAAAGTCTAAATAAATTATAAGCAGCATAATTTAAATTAATTATGTATAAGCATACTTTTATCACTAATTGCATTTATTTTCTATCAGAAAAAATATTTACAAATGAAAGAGATGTCAAGTATAAATTCTAGTTATAAGATTTTTAAATAAAATATACAAGAATTGTTTCACATAAATGTGATCGATGATTTCTTGAAATTTCTGGACCTTGGATTTCCAGAAATTTCCGGATCGCGGCCAGCAAAAAATCCGGATTTTTCAGAGCACAAACATCTTTGGTTCAAGTTAATTGTATCAGGTATTTACTTCTCTTACCAAATATTTAGATTTTAGTCAATTTGATAGTCAGTTATTTGAAATCACTATCAAGAGGTGTCAATCTGAATCACTATTTTCATTAAAACCAAATTAGTTTAGTCAGCTTATCGTAAAAGTTGTGCAACAAAACTTGCACAGGTATTTTAAAAATTTATGCAAAAACTATTATTCAAATTTAATTTCATAAAACGATACATTTAATCCCTGTAATGTAAAAGCCAGTAGGTAACAATTTATTTACTTTTCGTCCAATGTCATAATTTAGTTGAGAAACTTTTAAAAGAACAGATAATAGCTTTACTCAGGAGAAGTTTATTAAATACAATAAAGAAATCAAACAAAAAAAAACACTTCTAAATAGAATGAATATGCAGTTTATGATATTGAAATAAAATATTTTAATCGAGAAAAAAAATTGCTGCTTTGTTGGATTTCCGCTACCCATGCTCAGGGTTGCCACTCAAATTGGGGGGGAGGAATTCTCTATGTATTCCCTGTACATATCTTACACAATATATTAAGAGGAAACACAATTACTGTGCTCTTGTGCAAGCTATATAGGGCTAATTATATTTAGTAATTTCAATTGCTGGAAAAACTTGAGAAAAAAAAGGAACAACTGAACATACTTAAATAATGCAATAGTAAATGAAATAGTTTAGTATAGCTGCAATATCCTTCTTATATATCCCATACATTACGCTTTGAGTGGTCATTATTTAAAAGACGAAAATAAGAAACAAAATTACCTGTATTTTCCCAGTTAGCAAAAAAAAAAATTTAAAATTTACGGCATTTTCTCTGCTATTTTAGGTAATTTTTAAATTCCCCGTATTTTCCAGGTTTTCCCAGTGACAACCCTGAATGCTGAAGCAATTTTGACTGCTAATACAATATGAAACAATTTTTATCTCTGTAATGTGAGTTCAATGAATGAATACTAACATTGTATAGAACATTGGTCCATCCTTCATTGGTAACACATTGGAAAACAGTGAGCATGGCCAGACCAAAATTGTCAAAATTTATGATTCCGTAATTTGGACCGTCCCAATAGAGGCGGCAGACTTCTCCCACACCTTCACACTGGAAGCCAGAATCACCACACGGATGAGGTTCTCCTTTGATCGATATCTCACCTACAATAAAATAGTTTAGTTACTTCCTTAGAGTTAATACATATATTGAATATACATATAACTGATAGCAAAATATTCACATACATATTAATATACAAACAATAAGACAGCAAAATATTTGTAAACAAACAGATATACATATACTGAATAATACATATACCCTGGGGGCAGAATTTTTTTGGGCTTTCTGCAAAAAACCTCTCTTGCACTAATATCTTTCCGCGAGATACTTTTAATAATAACTAATATACACATTATTCATTGAATTTAAAGCAACAGAAACCTATTTCCCACAAAAAAAAACCTTTTTGGTTAAAATAAAATTGTGTGTATTTTTTTTAAAATGAAGATGTAATATTTTTTTATTTTCATATCACAGGCAATATTCTCACATTTTGTAAGAGGAAAACAATCGAATAATTTCCTTTTTGCATTTCGTAAATCATAATCACATGAAAAAAAATAATTAAAAATTGTGAAATTTGTAAAAGAAAATAAAACCAAACTTTTTTCAGTTTTATTTGTTTCCAATAAGAATTTTAAAAAAAGCAAGATCATTTCTTATCCGTCTGGTGGGTGAAATAGGAATCTTTTGAATATAACTATGGAGAAAAAAAATCTCTCAAACATTTCTGCAGAAAAGAAATTTTTTACTTCAATATTCTTTATTTTTCATTCTTATCAAATAAGAATAAAAAAATTACGAGCATTTCTTTCCCCTCCAATGCGCGAAAAAGGCATCTTCTAAATATAATTTCAGCGAAAAAATTTCAAAAAAGGAAAATAAGATATTTTTTCTTTCTAAAGGAAAATTCTTTTTGCAATAATTTTGTAACGTTCTGCAACAATGTCACCGTGTCATTACGGTTCTGGCACCGGGGTGCATATACATGCTTTATATATTTTGACAAAAATATATTTTGAGGTGTCAACAATATTGCCATTTTGCTGAATAAGAAAATATTGTAAAGAAACTTCAGACTTGTCTTACTATTAGCAACAACTTTTCAAGCATGTATGTGTAAAAGAGTAAATAAACAATGTACTTTTAAACCAACATCCAGGGCAGGAATAATAAGCTCTAAAAAAGTATTCCCTACGTTCATTACTAAGACAATCACGCACTACAGAATGATATGTAACGTCAAACCCTCCGATTGTCATAAATAAAACATCACACATCCTGGTGACCAACTTGGCAATATTACAAGATTATACATTAGCATAAAACAACAGTTATCCAAAGTAATCACGTCTTTTTTTTTTACCCATTTTAAAGCATTTGTTTTTTACTATTGTATAAACTCGAAAGTATGAGATTCTGAAATATACTTGTGAACTTAAAATATCGCTTTGAAGATTATGTTTGAAACTTAAAACTAAGATTTTGGTTGGCAGTAAGGACATACTGAGCACAAGTTCTGAGACACATTTTCTTTGAATGGAATTTTCTCGAAATACAAAATTTTTATTTTCCATAGTTTAAATGCTTTTTAAAATAAAACAGCAGTTTACACACAATACATGAATATTTATAAACAATAGCTTCATATTTACAATTTGCTAATATATTGTTTTCATTAGAATACAAATATAGTTTGTCTCCCAAATATAGTAAGAACTCCCCTAGCCATTGGTCTGGACCAGTGGGGGTGACTATCTTAACGAGGTAGAACTATTTCAAGTAGGAGTGAGGGGTCATTGTTTAGGACAGGTTTTGGCTCGGTCGGGTTGGCGAGAAAAAGGGACTTTCTTTCTCTGGTCTATTGTGTTAGCCCTAGCATGAAGAGAAGCTAACCTGACGAACTATACGCTAGTTTAAAATTAAAAATATATCATTTTTTATTTTAAAAAAATTTAAAAATTTAAAACAAGAATCTTAAATTATAAAAAGCATAACACTTTTGTATGGAATTTCAACTTAACCTGGCATTACTTTCTTTTACAATAGAAGCCTAACTAATAATCTTTCTTTTAGAGAAGCCTTAACTTCAAAAATAAAGCTCATTAGCAATTTTTAACAGAAACTATTTTGAATGGACTATTAATTATTTTGTTAATCTATAGAAAAATGCTTTCATAGTTTTAAAAATAAATACATTAAAATTAAAGTTTACATCAGAATCGAATTTGCAGAATTCTAGTTCTGAATTAATTTTTTTTACATATGCAGTAGCACCGCAGCTAAAAATGAACAAAACAAGCTTAATAATGATTTTTGTTGAAATGAAGACAAAGCAGAACTGTTTCATTGTTGAAAGGAATGTTGAAAGCATCGTTGAAAGGAATGCATTGCTAATGAATTTAGTTATTTTCTTTTGAATCAAAAAGTTTGATGGGAAAACTAATGCAATATCTTTTTCATAATTTAGTCAATATATTGTTTTTAGAATTGTACATTGGACAGGATATTATGTATATAATTATACATTCTAAGCCCAAAGGCATTTCTAACACATAAGAACATTCCTTTAACTTTTAAGAACATTCCTTATGCATCGTTTTGGGGTTGGGGATTTAGAAGTCCTAAACAGGTTTTGGACAGGACATGTAGGTTTTACTGTCTTAAACTGTCCTAAACTGACTAAAACTACCTTAAAGTGTGCAAAACCTTGAACATTGGTAAAAGGTAAAAATTCTATATGTGTGACCATTGTACACATAATAATTGCATATATTAATAAATATTTGATATTTTTTATACAATTTGTTTTAACTTATTAAAATAAAATAATATAATATAAGAAGAAAAGATTTATAACTTTTGAAGCCCCACAATTCAATGAACAAAAGTGATTACTGTATCTTTAAATACGAATAAATATGCTTTTAATACTGATAAATTACGTTTTCGCATAAAGATAAATAATGCAATATTAAAAATAATAATAAACTTTTTTTAATAAAACAAAAAGTTCTCATCATTATGTTTCTTGCTCAAAAATTAACCTTTTATTTTTCACAATAATTTTTCTAAATTGTGACATAATTTGAATAAAAGAATTTTGGACAGTTAAGACAGTTTTGGGCAAATTGGGTTTGGACAGGAGGGTTTAAACCCTGAATTAATCCAAGCTGTCATAAACCTTGCATATTCTGCATCTTTTATACATAATTTTAGAGAGAAAAAATTCGAAAATTTCAGCAGAAAAGAAAATTAAAATTTTTTTAACTTCCTAAAGGAAAAATCGTCCTGTGTGAACACTGTAACGCTCTATGACAATGTCGCCGTCATTCTGTCAAGGGGGTACCACTAATTTTGAAATATTGTCCCCATCTTTCTGCACCACTCCCACTAGCCTTACAAAGAACTCTTCCCAATATTTTCTTTTTCAGAAAATATAAAGTTTTAGAAATTTTATAAACATGAGCAATGATACAAAAGCTAGCTGTAGAGAAGAATATCATTTGACACATTAGAAGAAAAAAAATAAATACCAGTAACATTATCAAAACAAGTTTTGTGCATTTTTCCAGAGAAAAGCTCCAGACCAATGATTGCATAGATGATGATGACAAAAATGACGAGGAGGGCGATGTGGAGGAGGGGAATCATGGCTTTTAGAATGGAATTGAGCACCACTTGAAGACCTAAAATAAGGATCACAAAATAAGAAATAACTTATTTTTGGTGCAACATTATGTGATTAGAAGTGCACACACAAGAATAGCTGAGACACAATCTTTATAGTTCGAAAAGAGCTAATTATAAATATGATCATCTGAGATAGCAAATTGAATTCATCAATAAAAAAATACATTTATTCAGAGCATCTTCTTATCTGATTTTCTTAAATAGAACATCATTAATTTGAACATTTATGATTAAGAACTCTTACCACAAAACCCTATATTATAACTCGAATATCCAATCAGTTTAAGGAGAGAGTTTATCTTCAATTAAAAAACTACCAAGACGTTTTTGAATATTCTTCAAAAACTTTTAACATTGATATAAACTGAAGAATAATAATATTAAAAAAATTGCATATCAACTATGAATTGTTTTAGCGTAAAAGGAAGTGCAGAACATGCAACTTTCAAAAATGATCAGATTTGTTAAACTACATCAAATAGGAAATTAACATTTTTTAAAAAAATATTATTTTCTTTCAACAAAAAAGAGGAAGAAAAATTTCTTATTGTTTATTAAAATATTGAAAAATTATTTTCTTCCCTTAAAAGGAACTAAAATTTTGAATGCTCCTTTCACCTTGATAATTTCTTCCTAATTTTTTTATACTGAAAAATATATGTTAAAATATATATACTGAAAAATATAATACTTCCTTAATCACGAGAAAATTCTGGTATGAATATAATTAAATTGAAATGTAAGTTTAGAATATGAGCAAGAATATGCAAGTATATAATATAAACTAAAGCTGGACTGACAATGAATATAACTCGCAATAATAAATTCAAATGTAAATGTATAATATAAACAAGTACATAAAATGAACTATTGCTGGACTCGAGATGAATATAACTAGTCATAATGAAATTGAAATTAAAAAATAAAATATTATCCAGCATATAAAAGTATATAATATAAACCGTAGCTGGACTCCTGAAGAGTATAACTGCTCATAATTTAATTGAAATGCAAGTGTATAGAATAAGCAAGGATATAATAAACTACAGCTGAACTAATAATGTATAACACTTGTCATAACCAAATTGAAATGCAAATTAATAATATAAGCAAATATATGCAAGTATATAATATAAACTATATCTGGACACACGATGAATATAACTCGCCATAATAAATTGAAATGCAGGTGTATAATATAAGCAAGTACATGCAAGTATATAATATAAACTATAGCTGGTCTCATGATTAATATTACTCATCATTATTAAATTGAAGTGCAAGTGTATAATATATGCAAGTATATAATATAAACTATAGCTGGACTAATGATTAAATTGAAATGCAAGAGTATAAAAAAAGCAAGTATACGATATAAACTATAGCTGGACTTACGATGAATATAACTTGCCATAATTAATTGAAATGCAAGAGTATAATATAAGCAAGTAAATGCAAGCTTATAATATAAACTACAACTGGACTCACGATGTATATAACTCATACTTGCATTTCAATTTAATCATGACATCATATAAGCAAGTATATAATATAATCTAAAGCGGAACTGATGATGAATATAACTTGTCATAATTATATTGAAATGCAAGTTTATAATAAAAGCAAGTATATGCAAGCATAAAATATAAACTATAGCTGAACAATAGATGAATATAACTTGTCATAATTAAATTGAAATACAAGTATATAATATAAGCTAGTAGTATATGCAAATATAAACTATAGCTGGACTCACAATGAATATAACTCATCATAATTAAATTGATATGCAAGTGTATAATACAAGCAAGTATATGTTAGTAAAACTATAGCTGAACTCATGATTAATATAACTTTTCATATATAAATTGAAATGCAAGAGTATAATATATGCAAGTACAGAATAGAAACTATATCTGGACTAATGACTAAATTGAAATGCAAGTTTATAGTATGAGCAAGTATATAAAAGTAAATAATAAAAACTAAACCTCGAATAATGATTAAATCGAAAAGCAAGTACATAATATAAACAAGAAGAAATAAGTATATAATATAAACTACAGCTTGAAAAAAGATAAATATAACTAGTTACAATTAAATTGAAATGCAAGCGTAAAATATGAGCAAGTATATGCAAGTAAATAAAATAAACTGTAGCTGGATGAATGTAACTTGTCATAATTAAATTGAAATGCAAGTATATAGTCTAAGCAAATATATGCAAGCATATAATATAAACTACAGCTGGACTGACGATGAATATAACTCGCCTTAATAAAATTTAAATGCAAGTATAAAATATTATCAAGCATATGAAAGTAAATAATATAAACTGTAGCAGGACTCCAAAAAAGTATAACTCGTCATCATTAAATTGAAATGCAAGAATAAAATATTATCAAGTATATGAAAGTATATAATATAAACTGCAGCTGGACTCCAGAACAGTATAAATCATCATCATTAAATTGAAATCCAAGTATAAAATATTATCAAGTACATGCAAGTATATAATATATACTATAGCTGCACTCACAATGAATATAACTTGCCATAATTAATTGAAATGCAAGTGTATAATATAAGCAAAAACATGCAAGTATATAATATAAACTATAGCTGGACTGAAGATGAATATAACTCGCCATAATAAATTCAAATGTAAATGTATAATATAAGAAAGTACATAAAATGAACTGTAGCTGGACTCGAGATGAATATAACTCCCCATAATTAAATTGAAATGCAAGTGTATAAAATAAGCAAGGATATAATATAAACTATAGCTGAACTAATAATGTATAAAACTAGTCAAAACCAAATTGAAATGCTAATTAATAATATAAAAAAATATTTGCAAGTATATAATATATGCAAATATATGCAAGTATATAATATATGCAAATATATGCAAGTATATAATATATGCAAATATATGCAAGTATATAATACATGCTTGCATATACTATATACTTGATAATAATATATGCAAGTATATAATATTATCAAGTATATGAAAGTATATAATATGAAATGTAGCTGGACTCCTGAAGAGTATAACTCATCATCATTAAATTGAAATGCAAGTGCATAATACAAGCAAGGATATAATACAGATTATAGCTGAACTAATGAAGATTACAATTTGTCATAATACATTGAAATGCAAGTATAAAATATTATCAAGTATATGAAAGTATATAATATAAACTGTAGCGGGACTCATGAAGAGTATAACTCCTTATAATTAAATTGAAAACCAAATGTATAATAAATTCAAGAATATAATAAACTATAGCTGAACTAAAGACGAATATAACTTGTCATAATTAAATTGAAATGCAAGTATATAATATAAGCAAGTATATAATATAAACTATAGCTGACTCAAGAAGAATATAACTTGTCACAATTAAATTGATATGCAAGCATATAATATAAGCAAGTACATGCAAGTATACAATATTAAATATAGCTGGACTAATGATTAAATTGAAATGCAAGAGTATAATAAAAGCAAGTATATAATATAAACTATAGCTGGACTGACGATGAATATAACTCACCATAATAAATTCAAATGTAAACGTATAATATAAGCAAGTACATAATATGAACTATAGCTGGAATCGAGATGAATATAACTTGTCATAATGAAATGGAAATGCAAGTGTATAAAATAAGCAAAGATATAATATAAACTATAGCTGAACTAATAATTAATAAAACTTGTCAGAACCAAATTGAAATGCAAATCAATAATATAAGCAAATATATGCAAGTATATAATATAAGATATATAAGGACACACGATGAATATAACTTGCCATAATTAATTGAAATGCAAGCGTATAATATAAGCAAAAACATGCAAGTAAATAATATAAACTATAGCTGGACTGACAATGAATATAACTCGCCATAATAAATTCAAATGTAAATGTATAATATAAGCAAGTACATAAAATTAACTATAGCTGGACTCATGAATAGTACAACTCGTCATCACAAAATTGAAATGCTAATAAAAAATATTATCAAGTCTATAAAAGTATATAATATAAACTGCAGCTGGACTCCTGAAGAGGATTATTTTTCATAATTAAATTGAAATGCAAGTGCATAATATAAGCAAGGATATAATATAGACTATAGCTGAACTAATGAAGATTGAAATTTGTCATAATTAAATTGAAATGCAAGTATATAATATAAGCAAGTATATAATACAAACAATAACTGGTCTCATGATTAATATTACTCGTCAATATTAAATAGAAGTGCAAGTGTATAATATACGCAAGTATATAATATAAACTACAGTTGGACTAATGATTAAATTGAAATGCAAGAGTATAATAAAAGCAAGTATATGCAAGTTCATAATATAAACTATAGCTGCACTCATGATTAATATTAATTGTCATTATTAAATTGTAGTGCAAGTGTATAATATATGCAAGTATGTAATATAAACTACAGCTGGTCTCATGATTAATATTACTCATCAATATTAAATTGAAGTGCAAGTGTATAATATATGCAAGTATATAATATAAACTATAGCTGGACTAATGATTAAATTGAAATGCAAGAGTATAATAAAAACAAGTATATAATATAAAGTATACCTGGACTCACGATGAATATAACTAACCATTATTAATTGAAATGCAAGTGTATAATAAGCAAAAACATGCAAGTATATAATATAAACTATAGCTGGACTGAAGATGAATATAACTCGCCATAATAAATTCAAATGTAAAAGTATAATATAAGCAAGTACATAAAATGAACCATAGTTGGATTCGAGATGAATATAACTCATCGTAATGAAATTGAAATGAAAGTATAAAATATTATCAAGCATATAAAAGTATATAATATAAACTGTAGCTGACTTCCTGAAGAGTATAACTCCTAATAATTAAATTGAAATGCAAGTGTATAAAATAAGTAAGTATATAATATAAACTATATCTGGACACAC